TAGGCCCGGAAGTAGGATTCGTCACGTCATCACTTAAAGACCGGATAGTTCGAAAGGTTTTTCGAAGGGTTTTTAAACGTTTTAGGACACTGGCTCCCTTTTGACTCTTTTATAGTCCAGTCCATGAAGCTGAACATTTCTGGAGGAATGCTTATTGTTTGTTGAACCAGTTAACACTTACCTATGAATCATTCAAGCATACATAAGGCTCTATAGTCAAGGCTTGAACCATGGTTATAATTACACACAGCAGACAACTTAGCAAAAAAAACCCCAAAAAACATTTTAAATTGCATCTTTAGGCACTTGATCATAAACAGCTTAGATAGATAGAAAAGCTTATACATAGATTTAGAAGCAAAATAAGTAATTTTCATAGCAGTGTATTAAGTTTTATGCTTAAGTCCCACCCTTTTCAGTGCTAAATTTAGACAGTTTGAATAATACTGGAGAGAACAGGCTGGGTATCAAAGTGTAACTACTTTGTTTTCACCTGTTGCTTGAAGAAAGGAAACACCTTCTACTTGTGATCTCAATAGAAAGAAAAGCAATGTTAAAAAAATGTGTTGTGTTACTGTGAATATCTAAGCAAAAGAATATGAACAGTGAGACAGTTTAAACCTTATTGTGATGTTTCAGTTTTTTCCTCCCCTTCTACTCAAAAGAACAGAATTTCTCTTCCAGAGTAGTTATGTGCTTAAGGACACATGCACAGGGGCAAACATTTCTGAAAGAGGTTATTAATGGGACTCATCAGAATTCAGCTCAACCTGATATCTTGCTGTAGCACCTGTAATGCTAAGCAAACTAACAGATGCCTTGCAGCAATATGAAATACGCAAGTGCTTAGTTATATTTGAAGAGTCAAAAAGAATATGCCACCTAAAATCAGTCTTTTAAATATCAAATATTTACCCCATATAGACAATAAATTCTGTTATTATTAGTTCTCAATTATTCTATTCATGGAAGCCATTAAGGATTCCAGTGTTAACCCAAAGTCACAGCAGTGGAGGGGAGAGGGCGTAATTGGTCATCGGAGATAAAACGATAAAAGATTTCGCCTGCAAGCTCCAGGGATCTTCTGAAGTTCACAGCTGAGCTTCCAATGAATCAGAGAACCTGACTGGCATACACTGTTATGGGCAAGAAAAAGGTTAAACACAAACCTTTGTTTGTTGCATTCAGATTAAAATAACTTTCACTGGCGAAGGCTGCCACAACCAATGACAAGTTAAAAGGATAAAACAAGCCAGCTGGGCCCCAAAAAGCATTTTGACCATATTACTGTAATTTCCATTATAGCACTCCAAAAGCCTTTTATTTCCTGATAGCAGAGACAGGAATGATTCTTTTAACTACTGAGGACACAAGTACTTACCGGTGTACTGGACTGAACTTTGATCTGATCATCTCTATATTTGATGTCAAACCTCTTTCTACCAACAACATGTGTAAAATTCAAGGCTTTTCCTTGAAGAACAAAT